AAGAAGAAGAAGAAGAAGAAGAAGAAGAAGTAGTAGTAGTAGTAGTAGTAGTAGTAGTAGTAGTCCATGCTCGCAATATCAGAAAGGGAATTTAAACTAGAACTGCTGATACAGTAACTCTCTTATGTAAATATATGACAAAATAATATTTGGAGAAGGTATACAATTCTGGTCACTGCATCTAAAGGAGGATATTATAAAACTAGAAAAGATGAAAGAAAAGGCAACCCAAACAATTACACATCCAGAGCAGTTCCCTTACAAAGAAAGACAATAGCAAGTAAAGCTTTATAGATTGAAATGAAGCAATGTACAGGGAGACATGAGAGAAATATACATAGTGCATATTTCTGAGGGTAAAGCACTCTTCCTCACAATATTATAATTTGAGATAATCCATTGAAATTAAATGCAGAGAAATTCTAGGGCAATAAAAGGAAATATTTTTTCACACAATGCACAGTTAAACTGGAATTTGCTGTCAGCAGCTGTCATTTGGAGACTGTACAAGTTCATGGAAGAGCAGGCTATCAGTGGCTATCGATATTGATGGGTCTTTATTATCTCCCAAATCATAGGCACCTTGCCTTAAATATGAATTGCTGGGAAGTAACTGGAAGGGAATTTCCCCAATGCACCAGTTGACCACCGAATGACACAGGACTAAATGTGCTCCAGATCTATCTAGCAAGCCTCTTTTATTCTTATGTGCCCTCATCCACTGCATTCCAAGGTCAACCCAAGGGAAGATGACTTGAGGTCAGATTCAGACTGCTTTGGAAATAATTGAGGCAGTATGGAAATGCAGGTGATATGGAAGAACCACAGCCAAGCCAATAGACTGGATCCTGGGGGCAGCCTTTGATTCTTTACACTATCACTCAGTATTTGAAAATTGTTGTTCAGTTGTTTCAAGAAACTTGTTGAGTGTTGGAGGAGGAGGAGGAAAGGGATAACACCAAGCAATTAAGCCCAGGTGATGATCAAGAATAGAAATATAGGATTACAAAATAATTATCGGTCACTCTAATCAGACTACATTGGGCAAATAAAGTTTCCCCACTCTATTTATCACAACCAAGAAGACTTTCAATGCTTGTTAGGAGCAGATCATTTCCCACTTACCTCTCATTAACTGAAAAGTATAATATAACACAGTGATCTGGGCAGTACAGAGGCAGTAGTAGGGCAGTAGTATACAAAAATACAAATGAGCCCCAAACCTCCAAATTAATTGCTTTATTAAAGAAAATATAAGGGAAATATCCACAAGAAAATAAAGCAGCACATATAATTACAGAGTCTCAGGTTCAAACCACATACTGTGGAATCTCCTTAAATGGTTGGGAAGTGACAAAGCATAAATGAAAATTGGGGGCAGGGAAATATCATCTAATCATTTGCCATAATCATGATTTGAAATTGTGAGGTATGAACCATGTAATAAAACAAAGCCCAAGAAGGAAAGGTCATCTCAAAAAGTGAGGAAAAAGTGAGGAAAACCTGGACTGTGGTACAACTATTTTTAGTTGGATTGGGGCCTAGCATTTCAAGAAACGGGGCTATTCAAAGAAGCATGGCATATCATTCTCTATAAATGTCAGAATTTCTGAATACAACACAGTGTTTTGCCAGAGAAGTATCTCCCTCATAAGATTTGTGAAAATCTTCCTCCTTAGACCAGGTTTTCTATATGACTATATAATTCAGGTGCTAATGAGCTATTCCATTTCTGCCTTTTAAAGAAAAATAATAGTGAGGGCCATGATTATCTCAGCTATAAGAGGAAGTGGTCAGTTATAAGGCTAAATTAAATATGAGTGAAACCCACCCTGAAAAAATGAGGGTTCAGTTTTAGATCGACTAGATTGACTTTCTAAGTAAGTTAGTAAACATGGCTCTCTCCCTCTGGAACAGCTTGCTTATCATGGTTAAGTGTGCCCCTCTCTGATGATGCTTCAGAAGATGACAAAAGCAGTCTTCTTTAAGAGATGTTTAGTTACACTGAATTGCAGAGATGGGTTAATTTTAAGTTTCCAATTACTTTGTTTATAATTTATTGGTTTTACGGATGGATTTTATGACTATATGAATGTTTTACTTCATGAGTTGCAAGCTGCTTAGAATCAGAAGAGTAGGTGGCATATACATTTTGGTAAACACATACAGGCATGCTTGAATTTAATAAGGAAATGGGGTTGCTAACATGGTTCTTCCTTCACAGCTGCTGGGATATTCTTCCTGGGATGATTAACCCTGGGAGAGGATTTTCCACTGATGATTAGACCGTGTGTAAAAGAAATGGAAATAGGCCAGCAATGGTTATAGCTATTGTATCTGGCCTGCAGAAATCTAGATGATCACTAGATAACAGCAAAGAAGTAAAGAAAAATAATCATCTGGATTTTTGCGGCTCAGATAAGATAGGGTTAAGGTAGCCCCATTTAAGGTCATCTTCTTACCAAGGATCTAACTTCATTCTGCGTGCATATACTTATAATGTTTGTTCCAAACCAATTTTTAAAAATATTTCAACCAGGAGAGTTGAATTGAGAAGTGTTCTTCACCCCAAATAACTCCCCACAACAAATATGAATACAGTCAATATCAGTTTTGAATCCCACAAACAGAAGTCACAGGGGGATGGGAATTTGGAGAAAAGGAGAACAGAATGCAAGGGAGAAAGGATTCATTTAACCATCCCTCCACCTTAACATCCACTTAGATGTTCTTTTAAATAATATGGTGTGGGGATTCAGTTACAAAGTCTTACAAATATGTTAATAAATCATTGTCAGCCAAGGCTGTGTGCCTTTTTATAGATCTTATTCCTGAAAAAGCTGCCAGGCAGACATTAAGCAATGCTTGAGTGCGTTTGCTGAATCGACACATTTGGTAGATTGGCCAGGGAAGTCTTTTCTGCCTCTCCCTCCTTGTAAAGCTCTTCAACACGCTTTTTGACTCCTTTGAAAGATAGAATAATATAATAAATCTTTTGCTAGGGAAGCTGGGCAGAGTGCATATCTTAGGTCTATTATTATTATTATTATTATTATTATTATTATTATTATTATTGACATTGAATTCTTGTTACCTTCAGGATGATGCTGTTGTTATGCAATCCCTTTCCCATCACAGTAAGGTTAGGATCTTGAAGAACACCTATTCTGGATAGACTATGCTTACCCCATGCATTCAAACAGACAGTATCTGCCAAGGGCTCCCGCTTGTGGGAATATCCAACAGGAGGGCCTCAAAAGCAGGAATTTTTTACAGGGGCTCCCTTCCTATGGAACAACTTGCCCCTAAAGGCAAGAGAAGCCCTTTCCCTCATTGATATTAAGACCTACTAATGCTGGAAGGCCACCGAAAACTAGATGGAGTAATGTATTGCCCTGAGGGAGATTTAATGCTATGCTCTATCTATTGTAGAAGGGTGTATTTATTACTCTGCTATTATATTATTGTATTATTGTTATGGTGTATACTGCTGACCCTTTAGAGTTATCTACACTGAAATAGTATAAAAATCTCCATAACTAGAACATGGCAAGGGTCCTGATCAGGCAGAGCCCCATCTAATCCAGCATTCTGGCAAACCACATGCATCTGGAAGCTCATGAGCAAGACTGGAGAGCAGCAGCTTTCTTCTATAATTGTTACTTCACAATTGGCAAGTTGGTTGTATTGCTTTTCATCCGGAAGTAGCGTGCAACCGTTAAGGCTCCTCACAGCCACTGGTAGCTGAACTAATAAGAATTGCTTAATATATGTGCTCCTTCCAACCTTTATTCTCTCTTTCAACCAGGATCCCACTTCTCTTTACCTCCATGCCACAGAATGATTTAGTTTAATTCAATAGAAGGGAAGAACTCTGACAGTCCGTGTTTGGAAGACAGTTATGAACAATAGTTGGAAAATGGAAACAAGAATATCCTGTACCAAAGAACCCATGTACAGTTTCTCAAGCATGTTAGTTGTTTGATCTCCTTAATATTCTAGTCTGATTGATTCAGATTTACAGCTATGGCATGCAGTTTGATATTTGTGCCTTAGAGGAGGAAAGGTACAACTAGGAATCACAGGAGGTGGGCAGAGCAGAGATAATACCTAGATCAATGCTGTCCCAGCCCTGCATTGCAACTGCAAGGTTGTAGAGGGTAATCCCATGGTTCATCTCTCCTATGCATTTCCTCATTGGGTAACCCTAGGAACCTGACTGCATGGATCAGTAGAAATGCAGCAGTATGAATGAAGTCTAATTGCCCTCTAATTCATGAACTGAAATGATAGTAGAATGAATATTCTTCAGGAAAATGTTGTATAGTCTAGGCAGGTAAGATATAGGACCATGTATATAATGAGATTTTTGTATTTGTATAATGAGATTCAGGCCAGATGTTTCTTTCATTAACAAATTGATTAACTTCTGAGTTGTTGACTCAAAAGGATTAGAAACAATTCTGTACTATGTCTGCCAAAATCCTATATTGTACCTTTAGTGTCTTCATCTTCAATGGTGGTATTTGTACTCTCTGAAGATTCCTGGACCAAAAAAGAAAAAAAAAATGCAAAAGATTGGAGCAAAGTAAGACTGTTCCAACTTTGTTTCTTTTTCAGAACTGTTTGTTAACCTTTCATTAAGGTTCTACCCAAACAGCACCAAACACTGCAAAGAAACAAAAATCAGGTAAGCATCAGATAAAGGTACAGGTAAATAACCACAGCTCTTGCTTTGCATCTGCAACACTTGCCCTGACTTTTAAGCCTTACAAAACTAAGCAGGAGATCTGACTGCAAAATCATGTAGAAACTTAATCGCCTTTCTTGCAATTGTCTATTATAATAAAAAAGACAGATCAGTAGAGCAGGAATGAAGGTCCTGAAATCTCCTGTCATTATCAGGAATAAGAGGGCTGTGTAGGAGTGAAAGACAGGTATGTACAAATTAACAGAAGGGAACTAGGATGAGGGAGGGAGGGAGACTGTGCAGGAGTGAAAGAGGCCACACTGAGTGCATAGTAAAGAAAGAAATGTACAGTAAAACAAAGAGGGTTTCTAAGACCCACACAGACCATCAAAGCCTGACACACACTTCCTTCCATAAACAGCCAACTGGTACACAAATTAACATGGAGAAGAGGGAGCCATTTATTCTCCAACGTTATCAACAAGACAACTCTGGTAGCTGTACTAGGACTACTAGTTCATCCCACCAGAGACTTTTTTACATATCTCAGTCTCAAACAACAAATTAACTACAGCTGCACCAGCTGTCTGATCCCTTGTGACTGCACAGTTCCAGCAGAGCCATATTAGATAGCCTTTTCCTTCATATCTCCTTGGACTGATGTAGTTTCCACACCTGATAAAGGAGTAGCACCATTGAAAACCTTTCCCTAGAAATTCAGATAGGTTCTCAGTGCTCTTTGGTGGGCTTCAGCTTCTTTTTGTGCCACCCATTCCTGTTTAATGGGATTTGTAGGGGAGATGCTGCACCAAAGAGGTTCAACCTTCAACCCAACCTTTTATGCTATCCAAAAACAGGAATGGTTGGAAGATGTTGAGAGGCCCAACATTATTAGCATTGAGGAAGACAAAGGACACTCACCATTAACTGAACGCTGGAACTGGACTTTCTTTTCTGGAAAAACAAGGAGAAGAGATGGGACAAGAAGAGACACAGAGTGAGAAAGAAAGAAGTGAGCAGAACATGGGATGCCAAGGACCCTGGGACGCTTGTGGTGATCCCTCTAAGAAGACAGGATTTTTTGTGGGTAAGCCTGATACTTAATTGGAGAGTTCCACGTCTTCAGTAAAGACAGAACAGCCACTGTACACAGCATGCTAACCTAAATTTCCTGCACAAGGAGCAATTCAATCAATGTTGTCCAATTTGCACCCACGTGCTACTCATCTTTGCTACCTATGAATTTTGATATCCTAACACAGCCTTGACACCTAATTCTCAGCTTAGCTCTTTTCTTATCCAAGCCAAAGCAAATATTTCCAAGTGGAAATTTCCCAAGCTGAATACATGCTAGATATCAGTCTAAAACTACTGTGCTACTTTTACTTATGAACACAAGAGCATCTAAATTCAACTCTCCAATAACAAAACACCATACTTTTAAACTGCCTGGCCAAGGAGGAGAGATTGTAATCCTACTAGTGGAATAGGCAAAAACTGCTCGTTTAGAATCAGAAGATAAGACAGAAGGAATTCAAATAATCCCTTAACTCAACTTAGTGAGGCAGGACGTATTACAACACCAGTATCTGAATCTTTCTTAAATAAGTATGCTAGTGCTGAAAACCTCTTCCTTTACTAACCTAAAACTGTACCCTTAGTACAGGTGAAATCCATTGCTCCTAAATAATGCTTAGCAGATGTACTCTTCTAAAAACACATGTACACAGTATTTTGCATGGATATGTGAAGCGTATCTGATCCCACACAGTCACACTTCAAGATGCATGCATTATGCATCTGCACTGATTATCAGGTAGCAAAACTGTGGGTTTGATATAGGCCATAGTGGCAATGGTGTACATGACACAATTTTACCTGGAAATAAATCCTTCCAATGGGAAAAGGTGGAAACTGGATTTTAATGATGACAGAGAATTTTCATTCCCACTAAAAAGGAGAGGGTTACTAAGCTTTATTTGGAAAAAAATAATAAGTAGATGCTATTCACATCATCTTTGCTTCTTTTCTAGAGTTCTACAAAGTGCACTAATCAATAACCTTATGCAGGAATGTGCTATCACACACTTCCATTAGGAAACTAAAAAAAAAGAGGAAGCTTAAGAGGATGACTAAAACTACAGATATTTATTATCTGGTTAATGCCTAACTGCAATGCCTAACTGTAAAAAAAAAAAAGCAAAAAAACCCCCACATTCTAATTACAATCTAAGAAGCAGAGATTATATTTCATATATTTCCATATAATCTCAGATACCAAAGATCACCAATATAGTAAATAGTGGAAATGAGCCTCTTTGTGCTGCAGACATGGAGTCATGTTACACCACAAATTAGCACTGAGCCTATTAGGTCAGAAATCCTAGAAATAACCCAGGCAATATAATTTAAAACATTGCCCTGTAATGATGATGAAATTACTTCAACAGATCATTTTAATGCAGATTGGAAGGGCATTGCCTTACTGTATTTCAGAGGTCCAATGAGCGCTCAAAAATGTTTTGAAGATCCCACTGACTTATCATCATTACTATCCAGTTTTGGCTTTGCTACTCTGCTTTGCTTTGGCAGCAGTCCCAGCAGTTATTCTGAGCATGCATGCTCGTTCTCAGACAGGGTAGAAAGTCCCCCGAAGTGGTTGTGCTGGCCCTCCAAAAAGAGGTAGCACCTCAGCACCTCAGACACTTCAGGTGCTTCACACAGCTCTAAGAAACAGGCTTCAAGGGGGTCTATTGCAGATTAGATTATAGGATATGCCTCAGATCATGTGGGTAGAAATAGCAATTCGTGCCCATTGGCATCTGGGGATCCTCATTGTCCTATTTCACCTACGTGTAACATCACGTGTTGTTTTAAATGAACCCTTTACACCTCTCCTCTGAAGTTTTAAAAAAGAGAGCAGATCCTAGTATCTCACTCTGTACAATGGAACTAGCTAGGTTCTGGTCCGTGGTAATTCCATTGAAAACCTAGGAAAAGATGCAATAGGAAATCTTACTGGACAGTAATTATAAAAGCAATCAGACAGAACACGATGCAACACAAAAGCAGAGACCTCATTTAAATAGGACAAACATACAATAAGAAAACACAGTACAGGGAAGTAATTTAGGACATAGGATGTGACATGGTAGAGTGCAGTGATTGCATTAATTTAGAGTGTGTGAGGATGTGACTCTGAATAGGACAGTGAGTGTTATTGTGTAGCCACTAGTTAAAAAGAAGGGAATGTCTTATCTGTCAGCAAATGTAAGAGCCTATTAATCAAAGTAGTAAGAATTAGATGGCAAGCTTTCATTTTAGTGAGATGGTGTTATATCCAAACAAGAATATCTACCTTTCTAAAATGGGACTACTCATGGAAAGGATTACCACTTCAAGTTTAAAACATTTGCTTCTTGGGAGAAGTTTATCAAACCAATGAATTTCATCAGAAAAACATGCTAATCTTGTGGCCAGGAATCTGACATTTGTGCCTCAAAACAAAACAAGCAAAAACTCCCCCACTGCACAGAGAGTTAAAATGAAATAAGGGGGAAAAATCCCAAAAAACCCAAGAATATGCCAGCAAGCTGGTTTAACCATTAAGAAAAGGTAGAAACTTATTCTTTGGGTTAGTTTCTGAGAGGAAGTAACAGTGAGATGTTAGCACTGGGAACAGCCAGCTGCCTCAGCATAAATATATATCTTGGCCCGGCAGTCCTGTTGTCAGAATCTCCAAGGCATATGGTCATTCTCTGAAGCTGTGCTCCTTTGCCACACCCTCAGACCACCATCTGAACTGTGAAAGAGTTGCCAGACACCTTTCCAGAAAATTCCAGTTTGGCTTCCAGAAAATAAAACAGTAATGTCAGTGCAGAGCTATGCCACACCCTATTCCAGCTCAAATACTTTGGGACTGAGCACTGGAAGCAGTATTGCTGCTAAAATGAGAAAAGCTGTTCATGCCTTAATCCATTTCTCAGTAAAGTCATGAACCAGGTCTCAAGGTCTCATTGGCCTTACAAAGCTAAAGACTCGGAGGTACTGTTCCTGGATTTACCACTTTGTCCCCACCTTCTCCTCTGCCCCAGTGGTGATAACAACCTCTGAATTCTGTAATCTCTTCCAGGTTTCTGAAAGTTCCTTTATCATATCAGAGAAGCAGGGTGTAAATTTCTTAAAAATCACAACAAATTATTCAGGGAAAAAAGTAACAACTGGGGCTCTTACCACAACTCAAAAAAGCTAGGAGCAAAAAACTGTATCTCAGCAGATCTTGCTAAATTAAGCCATTATGCATTTTCACCATTGGTCATCTTGGTCGGGACCACTGGGAATTGTGGTATAGCAACTTCTGGAAGATCCCAGATTTTTAATCCCAATTTTAAACTAATTTCCTAATTAATTAAAAAATGAAGAACCATCCTTGATCTCACTCCCTGTCCCATCTCTTTCTCTTCCAGGTCTTATCTGTGACAGCCCTTTACATGAGATTAGAAATGCTGGAGGCAGAATGAAATACAGCTCTCTTATTGATCTGTAGTATCTACAAAGGGGTAAAGTTGACTTGTTTGAAAGTACTCCTCCTTCAAAATCTTCCTTTCCATGGAAGGATAATACACTAGGAACTAGCATTTAAGGGGATCAAGAAGAATTCATGCTAAGGTATGTTGTAAGATTATACACATCCACAGAAATATTCTGGGATATTAAATACCATAAGGAAATTTGGGGATTTGTGAACTACATTTCTACAAGAAGGCGGTATCACCATAGCTTCTGAATACTTGAATCAGTTCTGAGCCTAGATTATTTCTAAGAAATAACATAATTATGTGATAATATTGAAACACAGAAGATTAGAAGAAAGGCACAATCTTCTCTACCATTTATAAAAGAATGTAGGAATGGAAAGAGAATTATTAGAATATATTTCTCAGTCTCAATGAGCAGGTCAAAACATTGCTTAGTTCTCCATTATTGTCTTCTCACAATTCTTCTCTTTAATTTCTTTTTCACATTTATTGTGATATGAATTCATTAAGCAAACTGAGCATGAGCTGAAGCAACCATTACTATAATCTAAGCTTTACAAGCTATAAATAAAGTTTTTTTACCTTCAGTTTTATTTTTTGTAGGAAAGGCAAGAATGGGAAAAATGTGTCTTACTATTGAGAAACAAGTGAAACAGAAGATCTGGGCCACGCTGGGACCCACTACTGGAGAAGACATCCAACTGTATTTGTCATCTTGTAGGATCCAGGAATGAGGAGGACTTACCTTCACACCATCATTCTTCTTGTTGCCACCGCTTTTCCCTCCTGTGGAGAAAAAGTACCATGTCAAGAGGCACAAGCACGACACCAGAGTCAGCAGAGTGAGAACCAGCAACATGAGGAGAACTGACTAAGAGCAGGAGACAATGGAATTGAAAACCACACAATCAGTGCTGCAGCCTTCTCTGATAACAATCCAGCAGCCTGAAGGAAGTCTCTCTCAGAAATCTATGAAGTTCACAAGCTGGATTACTATGTTCCTTCCAATTGAACAATACAAGCCACAGCCACTTATAGTCATGTATTCCCAAGTCTTTGAAGAAGTCAAAACGGAGCCCAGCAATGGTGGGAAACCGAAGGCGCATTCTCTGTCAGGTTTGTGTATTCGTTCCTGAAAGGACTAAAGACCTTCCAACCACATGGCCATAAGAATTTAATCCTGCCCTATGAAACCACTCCAGTCCTTTCTAAGTTTGCTAGTCTCATTTTTTTCTTAGATCAGTTCACGAATGGTTCAACAGGAGATAAGTGTGCTCTTGCCTGCCTGCTTTTCTCACTCTCAGCGTCTCTTGCTAATTTTAGTCCCCCATGCTGGTGAGATCACGTGCTACAGTTATGACATCCTGACAGCTGCAGCCCACATTTCAACAATGAAAAAACACGGGCACCTTCTTTTCTATCCCTTTCCCATTGCCATTGCAGACCCAGCTTCTATCCTGGAATTGCAGTCCATCCTAATTTCTCCCTCATTTTGCTTTTGCCTGCAAATAGATTTTGAATACCGCACACCTAAATTAAATTTAAATACTGCACACATTCTGTTTATCTATCTATCTATCTATCTATCTATCTATCTATCTATCTATCTATCTATCTATCTATCAGAAGCTCAATTGGCTGGAATACTGCTTCTGAACAGAAGACCACCAGATAATAACTTGTCTGGTGAGAATATTGCCTGGATTACTGTATTTGGTTCATGCAGGGTGGAAAGTTAATACTGTAAAGTTTTGGATTTTTTGGATTCCAGAATTCTCAGCTGATTAACCCTCCTTTACTTCTACAGCCCCAGTTTTTAAAAAAAAAACACAGATTCCTTAGATTGTTAAGATCTATATCCTCCTTTATTTCCTGAATTTTTATAATGTTTTTCTCATGATTTCTTTAAATTCTTTTATTCCATTAAATACACATCAATTACACAATCTTCTAAGTGTCTTATATTTTCCTGCCCTTTGGGATTTTTAAAAATTCTACAATGCATTTTCCACTTGCTGAGATTCTTAATTGCTAAGGTTTAACAAGCCCGCATACAAGTTGTCACATGTAAATATCACCTATGTATACTACATTACGTGAGCACACATGGAAAGCAACAAACAATTATGATTTTGTATCCAACAGTTCCCACAGTGACGCTTATACTGTAGATGAGAATGAAGACTGTACATAATTTCCTAAGCAGAAAATCTGTTTGGGAACCTCCACCCTCCCCATGAAATAGTCTTAATATCACAATGTCTGTTTATAACAATTGTTCCCTCCAAAAAGGCTATCTGTCCCAGTCAATCAAGTTCTAAAAATGTAAGAGAGACTTGTTGGAACAGAGCAAATGTCTGTCTGGTCAGCATCTTACTTCCCACAGTAACTAAGATGGCTCTGAGAAGCCTAGAAGTAAGGCTTAAGGACAATAAATTGTTCAGTGGCTCTGAACCTATGTCCTGGGTACCCCGCATAACTATAATCCTTCATAAATTTCACTAATCCTCTTTTAAAGCCATCATTTTATCACTTTCCAAATACAGTGTCAATCAATGTCCTCATTTGTCTTCATGTTAAACTTCAGCAAATGGAAGCTGTTTTTAGAATATTCCCATAAATTCCAAGATTCCTTTGGAAAATCCCATAAAACTGCCTTATTTTCCTGAATAACGATTTTTAAAACTAACTTCTAAGCAATTCTTATGCAGGAAGGAAGTGGTTTCATCTGACTTCCTATATTCTAGAAAGACTTTTTGATTATCCCCTAAAAAGCTCCATCTCACAGGATTGTGTATTTTGGGGCAAAACCCCTCTGATTACATAACCATTCTACACAACATTTCTCACATGTTCTCTAGAATAGTGTAAAATGAAATTCCCATTGTCTAATCTGAGTTCTTTCAAGCAAATCTACTGTGATCTGTTAATAAACAGTGGTGGTGGTGGTGTGAATGCCCTGTTGTGTGAGGAAGGGAATTTGGTTGATTTACTTCCACAAAGTGCAAAAAATGTATTTTTGTATTTTGTCTTCACTTAACGATTCAGGGAAAATGGTCAATATCTATTTATTAATATGACATGCTAGAAGATAGAATATAGTGCCTGAATTAATCTCCCCCCTGGTGTATCTATATGAGTCCCTGTGCACACCAGACTTAGGCCACATCCACACAGACGCTTCACTATGCTTCTTCTTATGCTGGGGTCCTTCCCTAAGTCTTTCTGTCTCCACAGCATGTACTTGCCATGAACCCAGAAGGGGTCAGAGCTCTGCTATTGCCCCTACAGCACAATATTATAAAAGCTGTGATTTGGGTTTCCTTGGCTAAATTCCAGTCCTGCCCAGCACTACCCTCCGTTTGAATACTGACATGGACGATATTCTGGTTAAGCCATGCGCTGCATTTTTTTCCCTTTCCTGTTGCATCATCAACCCATTGAACTTATTTTTTATTCTTTGAAAGTATGGATCAACCGGTCAATTTATCAACCACTAGATGACAGATGACACTAGTTTTTGCATCTCTTGGCTGCCCTCCAGTGGTCATCTAAATTTGTGCTGTTGCTGGATGAGTGCTGGTGAACAGTTGGGTTTTGGGCAAGGGGCTTAGCTGTGCAAATGGGTGTGGGAGCTGTAAACTACCCTAAGAATATTACAGGAGGAAAGGAAGTATGGAGCCAAGGCTCCTGAGATTTGTGGCCACTGAGAAGGAGTTAGCTGTGGGGCCAAGCAGGTTAGAGAAATACAAGAGACAAGTATTTTCAATTACACTTCCAATTACGTGTATTAAGCTAGGGAGAGGCTGGTCATTTTCAGTACCAGGACCAGGTCCAGGTCTCTAGGTCAACCAGTGGACAGGTGATCAACCCATTAAAAAAAGAAACAAACAAAGTGGCGGAAGCTGGGATTTCAGTCTCCCTCACAGCCAGAACAGAACTGAGGGTGGAGGACCAATCAGGGATGGGATGGAAAGTGGCAATTCCACAGGAAAGTGAAGAACCAACTGAAGCCACAAGTTTTATGCTCCATTGATTTCTGCCTCTCCGGTAGGATCAGAACGCTCTGAGTCCTATCGCTCGGGCAATGGGACCCGTGGGATATGCCTTCTATTACCACTCCCACCCTCTGGAACAGCATCCAAAGAGCATCCCTCCCAAGATTCAGTGGGCCCCGCTCTGACTGTCTTTTGAAAGGCAGTAACTTTAGTTCTTTCCCAGACCCTGGGTCATGGGGTGGCATGATCCCATTGGGTGAATCTCTCCAAGCACTTTATGTCCTTAAGTTTTGGGGTTTTGTTTTTATTATTTGTTTTCTGTGTTATTTTACATAGATTTATTGCTGTTTATTGATGATGTATACTGCTCTGAGTCATGTGCCAAGTGGATGGCTATTTGCTATTTTACATAGATTTATGTAAAATCAAATCAATCACAATGGAACAAGTCCTTTTAGGCCACCTGTCCCATGGCATCAATGTACCCAACTTTGCCTACCAACAGCATCTGGAGATGGGATAAGAGGGAAAACACTACTCTCGGAGGGGAGCACTTAAGCTATCCTTGGTCTGCTTCAGCTGTGGGTGGAAGATGAGATATACTGTGGGCAGTGGCATGCAGCTATGTCCTATGGAAATGATTAGTAGATGTTCCTCAAGCTATGTTGATCAGCTGTTAATCTCAGGGAGTTTAAGCGCATCACGCTCTGTGAATTGGAGCCTGAACTATAATTAATTACTCCAAACAGTGGATTTTCAGCTTTAAGTGAAGGAAAGC